ACAATCAAATTGATATTTATTTCAAAAGAAAATATTAAAGGAATGGTTTATATGGGTAAATTTCTTTAACATAACTACATACATGTATACATAAGAATGGCGATTTTTTTCTCATTAATTTATAAAGATCCGTTTGTTACTTGTCTTTGAATTGATTGTAATCAATAACTGACATAAGAAGTATCTTTTAAATAAAATGCACTTTGATTTGACCTGCAAGGAATTGATAAAGATTGATAGCTGAATCTTGCGTAATTTGTGGTAAAAAAAAAGAATAAAAATATGAAATAAGTTATCCATTATTGTCAATTCTAAATAATACATATATTGTATTAATCCTGACAATAATGGATAAAATATTATTGTCAATTCTAAATAATACATATATTGTATTAATCCTGCTTCTATGCATGATCCTCTTCATAAGACATTTGTATTCAAATATTTTAACTTCGTCCAAACGGATAAAATAGAAATTAATCATTGCGTCAACATACTGTTTTACAGAGTGATTAACTTTTATATTAATCAATATCAGATTGAAAGCAAAACTCCAATTTCATTTTGCTCTGGCACCTCACGTACTGGGAGATAGTCCATCTCAATTCAAGTCTAAAATCTTATCGGCTGTTGACATGCCCAACGTAAAAGATCATGTTTGACCATTCTTAGTTAAGATTATAGAGACAACTGATTCCTCCATCCCCAGCGATTGTCTGATTTGACATGAAATTACGTCCAATTTATTTGCAATCCATTGTTGTGGATTTATTGGAATTCTTAATAAATATTTATCATTATATCAGCGAAAGATTTACGTATTTGTGTGATATCCTTGCTTAATCTGTAAATCAGTGATTAAGTAGAAACATTGAATTTATTTAACTCTGTTTAAAACATTTTCTCAGTTTCTTTACAGGAAATATGACTGTAGGGATGTATAAAATAGTTCAACATTTGGCTGCAATTATTGCAGGCTTAATTAACATCCTAGCTGGTTTAAATAGCACTTGAGAGGTACTGATAATCTAATGACCTCGTCGATCAATGGTCTTGTCAAAGATAAGAAATAAAATACCTATATAGTTGTTTACTCTATCGTCCGTTGCTAGGCTTTTTTTTTTTTTTTACTGAATGGCTACATATATTCAAATGTTCAAAGGTCGCTTTTATTTACCGGGTTTTAAAAGGCTAATGGCAAACCAGGAGATTTTGAGGTGTCATTATGTTAAGTTTGCTAATTTTCAAATACACGATAACTGCTTTTATAGAGTAGAGCTCCAATTATTATCTGTAAGTAACTTAAGAAAGAATAAGAGTCAACTTCATTATCAGAGAAAAAATATCTTCGTGTCATTATTTCCCAATCAATCATCCCACGTAAAGTAACAATGCCTCGATTGTAAAAGATTAAACCATAGAGTTAAATATTGAATTGAAAAAAAGGTTTGCGTTATAATTGACTTAAATAAGGACTTAAAAGGGTTTTATTCAATACTTCTTTGAAAAATAATGCATCAGTGATGCACTCTAATTTTTGTTGTCGTCCTGAGAGTACTTTGCAGTAATTGTTTTCCGTATTGCATCCTAGTTGATAGACATTTTTTTCATAGATGGGAATGATTTTAACTGTAAAACTGATAGCTTTTTCATTTAAAAATTGGTCCAATTATCGGGCAGCTAATGGCGTATATGACGTCTTATTTACTTACGGCGAACAAGGTTACAGTCTTTGCACTCAGAACCCGATATTGTGAGTATCATTGATTGGAAATATGTCCTTAAGAAAGCTGTTGGTCGGTTTATCCCCTGTGACAGATAGTTTATGCATTTACAGTAGCGTGTATTGGTGACCAGATAAAATGATTGCATAACACGAAATAATCTATATCTCACTTTCAACTGTAACTTTGTTTAAGTAAGTTTAATTCATTTTGTTTTAACCTTATATATACTTGAATGATGGTATTTTTCTTTTCCTTTCACAAATGCACTTGACATAGAAATGTAAAACTGAATTTAAATGTAGCAGGGATTATTTTTTGACGGAACAGTGGAGTAGGGAAATACCACGTTTTGCTTTTCAAATCTATCGTAAAATACTGAATTTAGTTAGCATTTTCAAACAATCAAGGACGTAAATCAATTTTCTAAAGTAAATGATATTAAAAAATTGGAATTTTAGTTGCCGAATAAATCAAACAAATATTCATTTCTAAATAGAGTAAAGGGACATATCAGCAAATACTGAAGGAAGAGAAACAAAAGTAAAATAAATGTTTAGAACGATTTTCTTACTGTAATGTCACAAAAAGCCTTCTATAGGTTAAAACAAATATCATCTTCATGCTTTTTTTGTTGATAAAACAATTTAATTAAAAAAATATTGCACAAATTTCATTAAAAGTGAAAATGACAAATCTCAAAATTTCGCTGAAAAATTTCAGCAAATAATAAAGTACAAACAAAAAAGTGAACATAACAAAAGTGATCAATTTCAAAAATTATATCAGTTAAACAAATGAAGAACAGGGCAGAAATATGGACCACTTAATGTACGCAGGGAGTATGCATGTCCTGTCGACTGGTCACACCATCGTAAGCCCTCTGTATTGATTGGGTAAACGGAGTAATTCGTAGTCAAAATTAGTATCAAAATAAAGGCCTCATAATTGATATGAAAAAAAGTCAGTCCAAATACAACCCAAATTATAAGTTGTATTTGCAGACACAGTCATTATCACGAACATATTTGCTTACTATAGAGGAGATTGTTTAAAGCCATGTAACATCAAATTAGTTGACAGAAGCCTGCCTCGAAAAAAACCATTGATAGCATGCACCTACGTACCGAATCAGTTGAGAGGCATGGAAAAGCAATGGAAAAGTCATTCCGTTGGTCATAATGATTAGTTGTTACAGAAGTTAGCCAGTACACATCTGTTTGGATATTTTACTGCCTAGGCCTGTTGACGTTTATGGTCAACAAACAACAAAACAATATGACATATAGTATGACTTCAGCATTTCCGTCAGCTTCGCTTATTTATGTGGCAATATCCTACTATCTTCTGTATATGGTGTTTATGCCCCCCCCCCCCCCCCCACACACACACACACACACACTTATTCTGTGCACAAGAACATTTTCTGAGAACATTCAATTTTAAACCGAGGCAGGACTCTGACAAAAATTTGATGTTAAAGTTGATTTTGCAGTTGCTCTCAACACTCACGTTTTAAGACAGCATTTCTGCAAATTCTATAATCCTAGTAATGACCTTGTTTGCAAATAAAAGCTATTGCTTGATAGTATTTAGACTGAGACGTTTCATATCGATCGTTAGACCTTCCATTTTTATTTTTAAAACCAATTTTGACTACAGATTATCAATACTGTGGTATTTCCAGGAGTCCTTTGATTTATTCTGTTCATGATTACTACTGCTTACAAAGTTTATGAGATTTATCATTGTTTCTTATCTTTAACTTTTTCTTTATAATCAATATTAATATAGAGGTTTACAGCATCTTTACCTTTGCGAATTTTTAGCTTAAGAGAACAACGGGGTGATTCGAAATTATCATCTTCTGTAAAATTATGTACCCCACCTTTTTCTTCTTGATAAGGAATATAAACCTATGTCAATCCTTTCATCAGATAAAGGAAATTATAATTAAGATCTTATTTTAAATAATATCAGAGTTGATGTCAACTTTACAAGTACTAACCTTGTTATGCTCTCTATTTCATGGTAAGAAATTGTTTCCACATTTTGACTTCATTCTTCCCCAGTCGCCATTGGAACTGGAATGAATATAAACAACATAGATGCCCGAGATGAAGTTGCTAATAAAAGTCCTGGTTTACTTGAGAACCTCTCGAAAAAAAATATTCACCATGGTTTGTAGCCCACCTAAGTCTGAAGGCCAGGACTTTTAAAGAATTAGATGTACACTTTTTTAATACAATATTTGAATATTGTTTTACTTATGGTCATATAAAGAAAATTTTGAAATAACTTTTTTCTCCCAAATTTAGGCCCAGCTTGGACTTGATCCATAATTTGAAGAGTTTGAATCTAAATCACAAGGTATGTTTGCATATAAATATAAACAATTAAGACCACCTGAATCCAATATAAAAAAATCTGTATGTGACCTCTACCTAGCCCCGTGCTAGATGATTTACAGGGCGAAAGTTACATGAATTTGCATCTCATGATATATTAATTCAAGTTTGTTTAATTTGTGAACCTTGAGCACAAGAGAGGGAAAATTTCATATGGAAGATTCTTTTCAAAATCTGATTAAAACGGTTTCTTTTTCTCAGATTAATTTGTCATTAATCTTGGGCAGTTTCACATTTGTGAAACACTTAGCTGCAGAACTTATACAGGGACCAAATAGGGATAAAAGCTTTTGAAGAAATGTAAAGTCTTTCTCAATATCATCAGATCAACAGTTTATAAAATAATATCAAGACTCGGTGAATATTTTCTAAATAAAAGTATTGAAATGACTAATTTTCATTGCTTGGACACTATTTTAATCTTTCTGATGAAGATGATCACTACTTTGATACAGTCATGACGACATATCTGGGCAATAAGGTAATAAGGTGTACCTATAGTAATTACGTTACAAATAAAAAAAAAGGACCTATATGGGAGTTTCGTTACTGAATGCATTAACTACAATGTGAGCAACGTAGAATTTTTCAGAAAGAACTACTGCAATCCAATGAGTTTGGGATTACGAAAATTTGTTAAAAAGCAAAGTTAGCTTTTTTACATGAGCCGTTTGAATGTTTCTTAGGCGATAAAGCGTTACTAGGTCATTGATCTATTCATTAATTCGAAAATAAAAATATATTTTCATAACATATGATTTAATAGTTCACACAAACCAATGAATGTTTGATAAAAAAAAGAAAATATCTAGACAGAAAGAATATGAGTTGTTCTTATCATGAAGAGAAGGTTCCATTACTAGTGGGTCAGATAAATATGGAAAGTCGGTCAACAGTCAAAATGTCGAAAAGTTTAATATTACTACTTGTCTCGATTTTTTGTGGAAAAGGTAGGACATTTTTAAGTCTCGTTTTTTGTGGAAAAGGTAGAGCATTTTTTATTTTTAATGAGATTTTAAGGACTGAAGATAAAACATGCCATGGTGAGTATTTTATTTCATTCCTGACTTTAATAAATCATGTATAGTTATAGAGCTGTTTGATTTGAATTGCAGATTCAAAGCTCTGCTAAGATCACTAAGACCTTATTACCTTATTGCCCAGTACAGGTACAACATAAGTTATTGGGTATAACTTGTATGATGTTTCTTTTGAGAGATAGAATTCGTCTCTATCAAACCGTTTCTTTTTTAAATACCTAATGTATACGAACACAATAGCTAAAATTTCTAAATTAATAAACAATTACAGATAAAAGAAGGGTGTTTTTGTTCAAAAATGGCGTTCTTGTCGATTATCATCATAACATAAGATTTGCAAAGCTTTTCTTTAAAATTTTGGAATTCATTTTTAAATTGAAGGATATATTTAGGATCTGTAAACAACAGCTGCCTTCTTTGCTAGATACAAACGACATTTTGACATATCTGTTATTTGACAGTGACGGGGAAGTGTTCAGATGGTGCTTTTGTGTATGGAAATTCCTGCTACCTAGACTTCAACATCCGGGCTACGTGGGCCGAAGCTTCCGTAAGTCGGTGCTCTATACTAGATAAATCACGTCGCTTTCTATAGAGAACGCTTTCTATAATGACTGGCTCTGTTTCATGGTTTTAACTAATAACCCACAGAAAGGACACACTTCTAAAAGAATCACAGCCATCCAAGAGCCTTACGTACGATATGACAGAAATTAATGTTGCTGTATTTTTTAAAGGAAGTTTGACATTCTCTACAATGCATAAAATATTAATTTTATAATCGGTGATAAAAGAGATCTGTGAGAATTCAATTTCCTGCTAGCTGCTTGCAGATCTGGAAACTTGTGCACGTAGTAACGTCTCATTCCAGTGTTATAAAGTGCACATTTCTTGGTAATTTATTGGAAGCAATTTCATATTTTTAGTACCTTGATAGAAAGGCTGGGCGGATTTTTGGGACACGGTTTTAAAAGAATCACAAGAAAACATTGATTATACCACCTGAACTGGCATTTCTTGATGTATTACCGATATGATATTTGGTCTTATGTAGAACACAATTACTCCCTTATCATAGCACGTGGATATAAGAAGAGATTAATTTAATTTTCAAAGTTGTCAATTATGCAATGTGCCACAGCCGTGTGGTGTGCATAAACGAGTCAGATTTAAATAAAATGAATTTTAAAAAAGAAAACGGCTATCCAATAAAATAATGAGACAGAGAAGTAGTTCCTATATTACTCAAGTTTTGATCGTCTTATTAAGGAATAACCTTAATTTGCTTAAGTCAATAAAATATGTTCAAAACAAAACAAGGAATAACCCAGATTTTAATGAATCATAAAACATTAACAAAGTAAAAACTACTATTTACATATTCCAATGTTTTGTTAATATCTTACAATAGTAAGATGTAGTTTCGGCAATGATCCTCATATTCTCAAATTTTACATGTATTGTACAACTAGTGTGAGCACAGGTTAATGTTGAGTCTTAAAATCATTTATTCAAAATGAGACTATATAGCATATATAGTTTAACTGTGAAAATAAGAAATGTGTTCATAAGGATAATAACCGAGCTCGTAATAATTGTTTCATTAGCGGTAGTCATATACATTAGTTTTATTTTTCAAAAAAATATTTCTTTTCCTTTCTAGATCATATGTCAAGCGTATGGTGGTTATTTGGCGAATATTAACGATATTCACGAGCAGCACGTGATACAAACAGTCATCTCCAGAAATATAGGTAAGTACTATTATACACATCTCTAGAAATATAGGTTAGTACTATTATACACAGTTATATCTCCAGAAATATAGGTTAGTTCTATTATACACAGTTATATCTCCAGAAATATAGGTTAGTTCTATTATACACAGTTATATCTCCAGAAATATAGGTTAGTTCTATTATACACAGTTATATCTCCAGAAATATAGGTTAGTTCTATTATACACAGTTATATCTCCAGAAATATAGGTTAGTTCTATTATACACAGTTATATCTCCAGAAATATAGGTTAGTTCTATTATAGATACAGTAATCTCCAGAATATAGTTAAGTACTATTATACACACATACACAGTCATATCCAGAAAAAATAGGTAGGTACTATTATACACAAACTCATCTCCAGAAATATAGATAAGTACTATTATACACAAAGTCATCCCCAGAAATAAAGGTAAGTACTATTATACATACAGTTATCTCCAGAAATAAAGGTAAATACTATAATACATTCTTCAAAAATTAGTAAATACATAAAGATAGCGATTACCAGAAATATGTAAGAACTCTGTACTGTTATATAGGCATCTTCAGAATTGTAGGAAAGTACTATTAAGCAGAGATAAGGTAGAGAAATATAGGCAAACGTTATTACATAGACCGTTATCTTCAGGAATATTGGTAAATATACCGTACTACATTGTTATTTCAGAAATAAAAATGAATACTATTTTGTTTCCATAGAATTTGTAATTAGGGTAATTGCTTTGTAATTTGTGATATTATCTTCAGTTCCATCACTTCATTTACTCAATCTTGTAATATAATGGAATTATAATTTAGTAAGAAATGCAAAGTATTGACAGCGAACATGAAAAGTTATTTAAGAAATATGTCTTCTGATCTAAGAATTTTAAGGAAATATTCTAGAAAGTTTCAGAGGTCAAAAGCTTGACTTTGAAAGATGAAAACCAATACTTAAGAAAAACCCACAAGCTTTCTTAGCACATGGACCAGCACTAGCTCGTTATACAGTGAAATAATATGTATGGAAACAGACATTTCCTCACAACTCATAAAATAGACTAGCTCAGTTTAATTACTGGATTTTTCCTATTTGTAACGTAAGATGGTTCTTGGATGGAATTACGATGGTTTGACCGGTCGGCAGGGGATGCTCACTCCTCCATGGAACCTGATCCCACCTCTGATGTTTTTGGAGGTCCGTGTTAGCTCTGTTCCCAATCTGTGTTGTTTAAATGAACTTTGAGCTTGAATACTGTTCGTTATCCCCATATTTCATTCAACACAAACTCATATCTTACAAGCCAGATAGAAAAAAAAGTATTTGAGATTTCATTTCTTGCCATTTTCAATTATTTTTGGATAAGATATTAGTGTGACATTAGAGAAAAGCATGATAATTTAAAGCAGTATGTAAATTTTAAAAATGGTAGAAATTTTACAGAAAAGTGGTTTTAAAGGGGAATGGCAAAGTGGTCTGTTCTATTGTTTGTATAGGAGGCTTTAGTCCTGGGATTTTTTGGCTTGGAGGGACGGATATTCAGATCGAGGGGGAATGGGTGTGGACCGGAAATGTTGAGGCTTTTGGGACATACAAAAACTGGTCCCCAGGGGAACCAAACAATGCCGGCTCTAACGAACATTGCCTGGAGATGGATATGAACGGAAACTACCAATGGAATGATAACAACTGTCAAAACAGATTCAACTTTATCTGCGAAATACCGTACGTAGACATTAAGTTACACTTAATGAAGATTCTGTTTGAATTCGCTCTTAAAGGGTTCGGGTAAGCTTAAAGGGACACTACAAATTGATTTTAACAGCTGCCAACTTAATCTTTGATTACTATATATATTCTAAACTTTCTACGTTTATCTGAAATCAGAAAAGGAAACAAGCGATCGGAATCAAACCAAATTCTTTGAAAAAAAAATCCAAAAGTGTAGAATAAATATTCTATGTTTTCCTTGGATAAATTAATATTAGTTATATTTTACGTTGTTTTAACATATTTTATTGTATATAGTATATAAAAAAGGATTGGATACAAGTACTTTCAACTTAATATATTCTTTCCTTGTTATACAAACACAATGAAGTTTAGTTTACATGATTGTCATAACAAATAAATTGAAATAATTTACAGTTATTTGATACATGTAATGTAATGTACATGTAATGTAATATATGTAAAAATTGTAAAACACACACTCTGAGTAATTTAATAGAGCTCTATATACACTGATTACAATGTTTTTTGAACAAGAGAATCACATATTTATTAATTTTTTAATTCATTTATTCTACATAATTATACATATTAAAAATTCAAAGACACATGTTTTGAATTAGAATCCATATGATTCTCGAATAAAGTTTTGACACTGCAAAAAATTTGAATATTTGCATCAGTAGACAAAGATTCGTTTCCACATAATAAAAGATGAATATCTATTATGGTTTGCTGATTAAGTTGAAGAATAGTGTTTATTAAGATATTTCTTGGGCGTTCATATTTCTTGCATGCAAAGAAGAAATGATATATGTCTTCAGTTTGGCCACAAGTGGGGGAATATAATTATTATATTTTTCCGATATAGGTCGTTATTTAGGATACAGTTATGTCTTAATTTAGTGTGAATTATATTCCAATTATGATTTCCATATGAAAAATAAGAAGGTGGATTAGAGGAAGGTGTAGAAATACACGTTGTGTACGAGCAAGTCACAAGTTTTACTCTTAAATTTTTAAATACATTTATATATTATATGTCAATTTAGAATCAGAATCAAATCAGAATGACCAACCTGAAAATATATGACAACGCGAGACTCATTTAATTCAAAACCGATATATTCCAGTTCTTTCTTTTGGGGTGTTTTCTGTTCTAGGACAACGGACCCAGGAATTACTGCTGGTGGACAAGGGATTATTGGAAAAAGGAAGAATCATTAAAGAAACTATCCTATCCTTTAAGTTGTTTGTATTAATCGTCACTGTGACAGACAAACGGGAAAATTGACAACAGTAGAATTTTTGCATGACATATGAAAATTTTGCTCAGTTTTTGAAGATATTAGGTTTCAGAAAATTGCAAGTTTCAGAACCTAAAAAATCTAATTTAATGGCGAGAAATAAAAGTAAAAAAAATCTTTGTATATATTGCTTCACTTGTTCCTCTTTATTGTACGCATGCGCTGAAAAGTTGAAGAATTTACTATGGTTTCAATTCCATAGATATAAATGTCGGATGACTGAGAATTTTGAAACAATCTACAAAAAAGATGATCAGAACTTATCCCTTACTTCTGCTTGCTCCAATTTAATGTTTTTTACTAGTTTCACGCTAAAACTAAAGGACGCGTGACCTTGACATTGTTCACATTGATGATAAAAACAAAGAGATAGATACATTTTTTTTTCCCGGCACTTATATTTTGCAGTTTTTTCTTGCTTTACAGTGCAGTTGAGTTGTCAAAACTTCGCTATATTCATATTTCACAGAAGTCTTTTGTTTTGTGATACAATTTTCTTAAAAGAAACACATGGTTTTGACTCATTATGCAACTTTAAGACTGGTGTGATCGGCTACAGGCGATCAAATTGAGTACAACCTTTCCATCCGAGAAATTGCAGGTTGTGAAAATCTAAAAAGAAAAATCGTATGATTTCTTTTTCAAAATGTTTATCCGAGTGCATAAGAATGCCTGTATAACTTATTAGCGGTAAATGACTATTTATGTGGAATATCTTTGTAATTTGTCATTTTAGCTCAACTCTGCGTGGTTTTAGTCGCAATATACCCCCTCATCCTCCCTCGGTTTTGTGTTGTAAAATATCCTGGTCATTGTTGGAGTAGCACTGTATTATATGTTATTCCTTGTTATCTATGAAATGTATAGTCTTCGAGCTGCTACTGAAATGTGCAGGTCTTGGACCATTATACTGGTCTTTAGGTTTGATTTTTGATTGAAGATTAGATACATGTAATTAATGTTCGGTAGACTGGTCAGTTTCGAATTGAATGTAACCTTCTGCACGCACATTACGCAACAGACAATACATTGTCTACCACATATGGTCCTGTAATTTTTTCAGATCATCTACTGTACTTGTGATTTTTTTTAAAGAAAAGATGCATTTGTTAGGTGGCTAACATGTATGTTACAGTGTGAAAGAACCCCCCCAAAAAGTTTTCAACTTCTGAGTACATTTCTTTGCTACAGTAATTCTTGACAAAGTGGTTTCAGTCTCTCCATGAAGTAAGTTCAACGGCCTTCTTCGATTAATGTAATTTGTGATGACAGATGTCATACCTATCATATAAGATAAAATACCTCATAAGAATTTCTTAATTAATTTGTTAATAATTCTTCACTAAGCATGGAAATTATTTCTTAATGAACATATAAGTAGGGAATCAGTCAGGACATCATGTCAAACAAATCTAGTACGCTTATATAAGACTTAAGGTTCATTGACACTCTGAAAGGAGAGGTAACTCTCACTTAGACCAATGACTATCATTCCTTTTAAAATTATCACGTCTTGTCATAGATATTTCTTTTAAATTCTGCACTGCAACGTACGCTGAAGGTATTTGCATTAAGAAGGCTGTCTACAACGTCACAACATGGTGTATGTCACAATTTGTGATAATGGCATGGAAATATTCCCTCGCTGTAACCAAATCTTTGAAAAAAGAACAAAGAGTACGTGAAAACAAGTTTATTATAGTGCTCAAAAAAAAAAAAAAAAAAAATGCAAAAAATATCTGCACACCTGCACACACACAACACGCACACCTACAACACTCGCACAAATAATAATAATAATAATAATAATAAAAAATGATAATGAACAAAAAAAAAAAAAATAATAATGATAGTATCAAGATACCGACTATCATAGAGTCATACCAGACCCGACAAATGTTTCATTGCCATGTGCGAATAAAATCAAAATCGGAAACACTGACTGTCGAGACCACAGAGGTTGACCCAAGACGTTACCGTATACTGTTCATGGACACACAGTCCTTGGTTACTCATGGAATTACGGTTACGACACTTTCCAAAGGCCGCATGTTCCTCTAGCCTTCAAGGCCTTAGTACGTAGAATTTCCTCGAATGTCTCAGTATGCCATAATGTTCATCTGCTACTTCAAACACATACACAGCTGGTCACCTATAACAACACATTACATGTACTTAAAGGTCTGGGTTTCCATAGTCGGTAATAAACGAATTCATAAGGAATACTTGAATATGTCGGGTACATTATCTAGTACAAATAAAAATTAACTTAACAAAGTACGCAGTACAGTTAAGGTGCCAAATGGAAATATCGGCGAATTTTTTAGAAAGAAAATACCTTCTTTTCAAGGATGGGCGTTTCTTTTTATGACTTGACTATTATCAGACAAATACAATGTGGTTGAAAACTACATGTTGAGGACGATTAGACTTCTTATTTAGACTTGTCACGTGATGTGGCAGTTACGTGATTTTAGCAAATATACCTGAAGTATTGAGGTCATCTATAAATTCTAATATTGCAAGGGCATTACCAAGTTAAACATCTAAGTTTAACATATAATTATTTTAAACACTCTTTGTAGTTTGTGAAAAGTGCTGCGAACCTATATAGATTCTACTATCTACTTGCTAAAATTACATTTGTTAGACCGTATGTTGAATATTTTGCTGTCAAGTACATTGAATATAGATATAATTAATTCATTTGCAAGATTTCAACAGGTTCGCAGCACTTTTCAAATATCTTCATACCTCGTGAGTTTATGTGTAAAATCTTGTCGTAATTCATTGAGGGTATGCCCTTGCAATATATCGATGTATTATAACCCTTCTATTACCCTTCAATGAATCTGCATAGAAATATACGATAGTATCGCTTGTCTAGGGAATGTACGGGAAGTATATGAATAAAATCATAAAATAGACAACGCATCCAAGTTAATGGCCTCTTATATATCTACAATTTATATTTTATTTAATTACTGAATACATTTTTCATTATATAAATATAACTTGATCCGCCTCTCACTGCATACAAACTGCGTCAAATTGTACGATATGACGTCACATTGACAAGTGCATTGCGATCAGTGAATTGTTTATATATTGCTGTGTGGGATTTAACCAACAACAATAGTGCATGCACTAGTTAGTATTGATCTAGTTTAAAGCTATTCAACAGTTTAATATAGCAAATCATTTCATTTTGTGGTAATTTGAAGAACTTATATTTTTGTGTGATGTCATAGTAAGCATTTCCCGTATAAATTAGGCCCCGCCTCCTTACTGCAGCCTTAACTGTGCTGCGTAATGAAATAATAACTTTTTCTTTAAAAAAAAATAACAAAAAAACCCCTAGCTAACAAAATATACAGTTCAAACTCACCGCTGCCAAAGTTCTCAAAATTACTCTACTGTCCACACAGGAAAACTTCTCGAACACACACAAAACATTCAGGCCAAATACACGCAGCAATTTTTCTCGCGACCACACAGGTCATACAACATTTTTACTTAGGAAGGACACACCTTCTCACTTCTACGGCCTGCTCAAAACTAACTTACACGTAGACAAAATTGTTAAAAGCGGTCTGACAGCCGTGACCAGCTATCCGTAACAACTATACGATGAGAATGAACCTATGGTACACCGTAACCAACATAATCAAATTAAACAAAATTGTGACAGTGTACTTTCGTTCGAAACGCCATTTTGATCCGAAATGATCAGATTCTGTTCTGAACAAAACTAAACACTGGATATAACAAAACTTGCCGTGTGTATACTCTATTATGAACGGAATGTATCCCCTCGAAGCGACGAGGGTGGCCAAGCTGTACCCTTTCTTCAAACAAAATTGTTTGTCAGTATATTCAAATACGATTTGTTTTATTTCCAAAAAATATGTGCAAACTTATAAAAATAAAATATGATTATAAGTAATAAAAGAAAGTGAATGATAATTAAATAAAGCCTTGTCATCATGATATTTGATCATTATGTGTCAGACCCACGGAGATGTTTCCATAAAGTCCTGAATTAATGCTTCTTCTGAAAGCTTATGCTTTCCAGCGAAATATATCCAAAAATACAAATTTTAACAGAAAAGGCATATCCACATCTTCTCATGGCCTTGAAGATACACCCTTTCCACAACAGAGTATACACCCTGCATGTGTGGTTATACCCTGAACTCTTCATGAAATCACCAAAACGCTTTGATAAAAGGTGGAATTGTATTAACTCAAACGTTTGATCAACATTGTTTATCAGCTGTTTTGTATGGAAAACGTAAAGGTTTAAAAAGAAGTAGGAATTTTGTTATACGAACTCCCCTGCCGACCGGTCACACCCGCCGTGTGCTCCTTGTCATGATCGGGAAATAACGAAAAAATCCGTCGACAATTCAGTGTGTAAATAATGGCCTAACAATTAGTGTGAAAAACGTCAGTCAGCATTTGACTCAATGATAAATTGTATTTGCTAACAAGGTCATTGTGTCGACCATAGAACTTACGAAATGATGACTTTAAACGAGACAGCTGATATTCTTGTTTCATCAACTTATTTGTCAGTAATTTACCTCGTTTTAGAAATTGTACATACGTAGAGCATGCTCTTGCGTATCGAATCAACTGAGAGATATATACCCCGTATGCAGGTGATGAAGGTATATTGCTGCATAAGTAAGGGAAGTTGACGATTGAAAAGTTAAAGTCATCACGTTTATCATAAAGCTTGGTTGTTAGATTACCATTAACGTCTTTTCCAAGTAAAATATCCAAATATGAAACAGATGTGTCAGACTCTGTGGTATCTTTTATCTCAAGTTCACAAGGATATATCGTATTGACATAAGAATGGAAATAGCCATTGTTAATTGACAATACGTCGTCGATATATCTAAATGTCGAGTTGAAGGCCACAGCAAGTGTTTTCTTCTTTTCACGTACAAGATTTTGGACAAATTCTGCTTCATATGAATACAAAAAAAGGTCTGCTAATAACGGGGCGCAATTGGTACCCATGGGAATTCCAATAGATTGTTGGAAGACCTGGTCTCCAAAAACCACATAGATATTGTCAATCAGAAACTCAAGCATCTTTTTAATGTCAACTTCAGAGTACTTGTGTGAAGATATTAGAGTCCACACTTTGAACGGGTTTTTCCCACCAGAAATTTTGTGATGTTTAAAATTTTTGACAGTTTTTCAATTCAATTCAATTTCTTTGTTCATCATTTTAATCCTTTGATATTATTTTTATCTTCAGATTTTTGAAGAAATCAATCCAGCTCTTCTCATGAAAATACTGATTTAGTGTTTCTTTTGTCTTTTTTTGTAGATTTAAATAAAAATTATGTAAATTTCATTTATGACTTTGTTGATTTTCGTTTCAGGTATTTATAGCATTAAAATTTGAATAGAATTCTAAAGCATAAGGCTTTTAAAAAGAATCAAAATAAGGAGTTTCTACAAAATGAAATAAATGTTTAAAAATTTTGCTAAAAATAAAGATAAATACTAAGGAGCTTTATCTTATTAGATATTAAGTTTATTATAAGAAACAAGTTCATTTGTACTTGATAGGTGTAGAGATCCTCCTTAAATTATAATTCAGATTTCTTTTGGAAAATCGTTATAATTAAAGCAAAATGATCCCTTTAAAAATGTCATACAAATAGGATATTTCTGTTAAATTTTTCACTGCAACTGAAAGTATTTGCATTATGTAGAGATTTTTTTTGGAAATCGTTGAAATTAAATCAAAATGATTCATAAATAAAAAGAGGAGTGATGAACTGTAAAAAGGATTAAATACGTGTAGTCCAACAACTTATCATTAAAACTTTAATCATATCTGCTTTTTATTTTCGTGTACCAGTGTACATAGACAAAAACTGCTGTGCTTGAATTTTCCTTCAGTGAAAAAAATCTGTTCAAAGCATCGAACAAAGAACCGTAACTCATAATTTCAAAGCCTTGATGATAAGATTATAATCGAATTTTATTATATGAAGAGTGTCATAGATAACTCAGTGAACGTTCTATTTATACCATTTATCAAAATCGGTCAAAATGTGGAAAACCTGTTTCTTAGGTAAGTGCTTATCTTCTGATCTGTTAAAATAAGTTGTTGACTGCAAAAGGAAAATGTGACATTATTTGTCAATGCAGATCCTAATAGCATTTCAAATTTATTTCAATTTTAAATTTTAAATTTTCTATTCGATATTAAGATAACCCACTTGACTAAATTCAGACATATTACTTGTAATAGTAAATTTTTCTTTGGATTATTTCAAATCTTAAATCTGAAAATGTTCTGGACAGGAGATGAAATTAACATATCTGTCCGACAAAACACTAAATGAAATTTAAAAATAAACTAGAATTAGGATCCGTATGATGCTGTAAAAGTATAAAACATTCAAAGAGATGGTTTAGATTTCGGCTTTATCTTAATCATTTTACTACTACCACGATGTTGTATCAGGCTTGCTGGTGTTCGGGGTGTGTGGCGCAGTGTGTCCTATGGGCTTCGTTCAGCACGGGACGTCATGTTACATGCCATTTCATATTAAAGCGTCTTGGTCAGAGGCTAACGTAAGTAACCAATAAACGTTACCATTGCATCCAAATAATATTCTTGAATTAGAATATTTTCCATTGTTGTTGATTGGGTTAGTCGGAAAACGTAATTAAGTTTATATCTGAAAAAAAAATATCAAAAAAAAAAAACAAAAACAAAAACAAAAAAACAACAACAACAAAACAAACAAACTATTTTAATGATTCAGAAATGCATTGATATAACACGTTAATTTTCTTTGAAAATCAAACTTTTGGAAATTTTAATTTGAATATGAATTAATTTCTAGATAATGTAATGGTTTGAAAGAAAATTTTCCCAATTTTCTAGAGTAGTCTATTTTTCACATTTTTTGCCAGTACTACTGTAGGATGATACAGTCATCGCTACTGACCATTGACGACGCCAGCGAGGAACAGTTTATAACAGGATACTTAGGTAGACTTGGACCAGGTAAGTTATTCACTGGATACCTAGGTAGACAAACACCAGGTTACTTATTCTCAGGATATCTAGGTACCTACGTAGACTCAAACCAGGTAAGTTATTCACAGGATACCTAGATAAACCAGGTACCGGTAAGTTATTCACAGGATACCTAGATAAACCAGGTAAGTTATTCACAGGATACCTAGATAAACCAGGTACCGGTAAGTTATTCACAGGATACCTAGATAAACCAGGTAAGTTATTCACAGGATACCCAGGTAGACTTGTAAGTAAATTCCGCAGAAGACCTGGATCGCCAGTTGACCAGATAAGATAGGATTGGTAGGTAAACCTTAAACTTTTGCATTAATATCTGGGTAATGTTGGACCAGATGTCCACATTACGTGAAGTCTTTAAGGACACTCGGTCCAGGCATGTTTAACACAGGACACATAAGTAGCTTTGAACCAGATTATTTAATCATGGGATGACTTAGGAGACTGTCCAGGTACTACTTAATAGTTCAAATAAACAGTCAGTTCACCATTTCGAAATTTGACAGAAACCCTCTTCCGAATTACACATCATAACAGAACAAATATCCAGAAAATAAAAAAAATCTAAAGGCTCATTTTTAACTTCAATGACACGAATCATTTTTACAGCTGCGTTTTCGAGCGATTCACTATGGCTTGGAGGAACCAGTCTATTTTCTGGAAACTGGATTTGGACGCAGACTCAGTCCAGTCCTGTCTACACAGCCTGGGCTCCCAATGAACCGTCCACCCACCCTCTAAACAAATGCATGGCCATAGGATTCAAGTCTCAGTTCAAGTGGACAGCAAATGTCTGTGAACAACTGAACAATTTTATTTGCGAGTCTCCGTAAGTTATGTCAAATTTCAGTTTTAATGTATACTTTCTAATAGAAAATTTAATAAGAAGAGTCAGTCTGGTGTAGTGTGGAGATCCGAATTCTAGCTAATACATAGAACTATGTAACTGGTTTTGAAAGATAAAACATATATAACGAGGTTTCATGTCAGGGATCTGCAAACACAAAAACCTGAAAGAAATACAAGCAAAAGACAATAAATACTACACATTGAAAAAGAGATCCTTGCATAATCATTTTTGTAACTGTAATATATAACAAATTTTAATTTTTTCTTTCTTTTGTTTTGCAGGTCATGATAAGTTTTAATTACATGTATGTGATTGTTAAAGTGTTAATTTAAAATCCAAATAGAATGAGGATGCTTGCATATTAATAACACTTATCATAGCCTTATTGTTCCTGAGGTGAAGATTCTAAAAATGTATATTCTCTATGTTTTCCCATGTAGCTTTTCATTCCTAATTGTAGCCCATCCTACCCAAAGACCATAATTTGAACAAACCTGAATTTGCAGTACCTGCTTGCATAATAATATCACTAATCATAGCCTTTTTGATCTTGCGACGAGGCTTTTAAAAATATATTTTCTATATGCAAGTATGTAAAAATTAATTCCCTATTTTTAACCATCCCTATTCACGGATGGGGGGGGGGGGGGCTATTCTGCATTGTCTGAAGATGCTTACATGAAATATCACTCATCATGTTCCCGCTGTTCTTGAACAAGAAGATTTTTAAGGGATTTTCCCGTATTATCCGATTTCAAACTCTGATTCCTTACTGTAGACCCCTACTCCTGTGGACCATTGTTTGAGCAAACTTAGGTTGCTTTTACATGTTTTAACTTTTCTGAGACGTTGGGTCTTGGGAAAATATTTCAAATTCAATTATCAAATTTTAACTTTTTCTTTATCATCTTTTCAAATAAACGGAGATGGCTTTTTATTTGAACAAATTTGAACCTTCATTCTCCAGAGGTTCTTTGTGCTATTTTGATTTAAATTGGTCATATGGTTCGGGAGTTTGAAATGTGAAAAAAAATTACAGTAGACATCTGACACACGGATATAAAGGCAGAAGATTGGCGGATACCTTTTATCAGAAAAAGCTCCTGTGAGGCATCAGATCATTTGAGCAATAATTCTTTTAAAGATAGGTGATACCTCTACCATATAATTATATGCAAACATTGCCAAGTTATGTTGATTCAAGTTTATTTTAATTAGGGTCCTCTGAGTTAAGATGGGGTTAAAATTGGAATCAAATTATACATTATGCAGGTAATACACGAAAAAAAAACCTTCTCCAAAACCAGTAAGACCATGTTCGTCATTCTGATATTAAAGCATCTCCCAATATATGACGAGTCGAGTTTGCTTTAGTAGTAACCCTTATACTAAAGGGCTTGGCTACTGTGTTGGGTCTAATTTTTTTCCTGGAAATAAGTCAGGAGGAATAAAATCTTTTGGATATCCTCTTCTGTAGGACAATTGAGCCAAGGTTACTCAGATGAGCATTGTGGCCCATGGATCTCTGTAAAATGTGTACACATTATTTTAATTTTCCAATATGATATAAGCTATATTTCATTACATTGATATGGATTATAAGAGCTTAATCATTATACCACTCAAGGAAGCAAAAGTGCGTACGAACCAAATTCTTCCAGAACAAGGAAATTTATATACATATATATTTTGTTTTACAATACCAAACGTACTTACTCTTATGAGTATTCAAATGACAGAAATCCTTAATTGTCAATCAAACATCGCACTTAATCTTATATAAAGTTTTATCGACAAAATCTATCCGGTGTAACCGTGATTTCTGTCGCTAGTGCTCAGGGTCGCTCTTAATAGAATATATAGGGAAAAGAGCGACTCAAATCACTGGCCTCTGCGCATGCCTGGGGATTTTAGTCGCTTCAAATCAAAGCGGTGCTCTACTGGTTTTAAATCCACGGTAATAGTATCCGCAGTCTTAGCTTTTCGTGTTTTATTTATTTAATATTTTAATCCTGAAAGTATGCAAAACAATTATACATGTTATTTAAAACTTAATATTGAATTTTCTTCGTATAGGATTATTAAATGATGTTTTAGATTTCTAAAATCTATTTATTTTCTAAAAGGAAATAAACGACTTCAAATTTAATTAAAAATTTTGTAAATTGAATATATATTTAAAAAAAAAAAAGAAGGGGGAAAAACATGCTACGGTTAACAATCTCTCAGTCATTTGTTTCAACAGGTGTGAACCATGCCCAGGGCGTTATCTTAGACAGGTGTCAACAATTACCTGTACGTTAATAACTCACAAACACAGCTCCCCGTGGTCAATTTTAACCAAAGGTGTGAAGTGTGTTTTGATAACCACTTCATTATATACACTTGTATTTTGTCTTCAATGAACCATAAATACCTGTATTTCACCAGAATATAGTGATAATTCTTATCTCATTTCGACCTATTTTTTTTTTTTTTATTTAACAGATAAATTAAATAACGGGAAAATAATTCTGAACAAATAAATAATGACGACATGATAATTTTAAATACATTCAGGGTGGTTGTCCACTTGTCCGGCGAAATGATAAGAAAAAGAGAAAAAAATGGATGTGGTTTTAATTTTATGTAGCTGATATAAATTTTGAGTTTAATAGATCTGAATATGAAGAATTGAAGAAACATTATCTTAAACAAATCAAGAGCGTCGGTGATTCAAGTCGCTCTTCAAAATTACGGTTTCATGTTCAATTGTTTTATACGAACCGACTAGTATGCCTTCTGTTACAACATTAAATAGTAAAACGGGATGCAGTTTTGATTTAAAGTAGATTATCTGAGTGTAGTTCAATATTTCTAAGGGAAAAAAAAATCGGAAAACGTTATTTCAAATTTATTTAGTTATTCGGTCGCTCTTCAAAAGGGGGTTTCATAACCTACCAGAATTATATTTCCATCTCTAACAACTTAAAAATTGGATGTAGTTATGACAAAGAGTAGATGATAAAAAAGGTTAGTTTAATAATTCCAGAGGAAAAAAATCGAATAATAATTATTATGAATAAATTATGAGCATCGGTGATTTCGGTCGCTCGTCAGAAATCCATCAGAAGCTACTCGTTCACAGTCTGCACCAACTTAAAGAAATTAAAATGGATGCAGGTTTAGCTTCAAGAAGAAAATCAAAGTGTAGTTTAATAATTCTACATGAAAATATTAGGGAAAATAATTATTTTGAATTAGTTATGAGCATCAGTGATTTGAGTCGCTCTTCAAAATGGCGATTTCAGAATTTATCAGAACTAACATATTTATTGCCTGTAAAACCAGAAGAAAGTGGAATTTGATGCCGGTTTCATTTGAAATAGATAATCTAAGTGTAGTTTAATAATTCTACATGAAAATATTAGGGAAAATAATTAATTTGAATTAGTTATGAGCATCAGTGATTTGAGTCGCTCTTCAAAATGGCGATTTCAGAATTTATCAGAACTAACATATTTATTGCCTGTAAAACCAGAAGAAAGTGGAATTTGATGCCGGTTTCATTTGAAATAGATAATCTAAGTGTAGTTTAATAATTCTACATGAAAATATTAGGGAAAATAATTAATTTGAATTAGTTATGAGCATCAGTGATTTGAGTCGCTCGTCAAAATGGCGATTTCAGAATTTATCAGAACTAACATATTTATCGCCTGTAAAACCAGTAGAAAGTGGAATTTGATGCCGGTTTCATTTGAAATAGATAATCTAAGTGTAGGTTAATAATTCTACATGAAAATATTAGGGAAAATAATTAATTTGAATTAGTTATGAGCATCAGTGATTTGAGTCGCTCGTCAAAATGTCGATTTCAGAATTTATCAGAACTAACATATTTATCGCCTGTAAAACCAGTAGAAAGTGGAATTTGATGCCGGTTTCATTTGAAATAGATAATCTAAGTGTAGGTTAATAATTCTACATGAAAATATTAGGGAAAATAATTAATTTGAATTAGTTATGAGCATCAGTGATTTGAGTCGCTCGTCAAAATGTCGATTTCAGAATTTATCAGAACTAACATATTTATCGCCTGTAAAACCAGTAGAAAGTGGAATTTGATGCCGGTTTCATTTGAAATAGATAATCTAAGTGTAGTTTAATAATCCTACATGAAAATATTAGGGAAAATAATTATTTTGAATTAGTTATGAGCATCAGTGATTTGAGTCGCTCGTCAAAATGGCGATTTCAGAATTTATCAGAACTAACATATCTATCGCCTGTAAAACCAGTAGAAAGTGGAATTTGATGCCGGTTTCATTTGAAATAGATATTCTAAGTGTAGTTTAATAATCCTACATGAAAATATTAGGGAAAATAATTATTTTGAATTAGTTATGAGCATCAGTGATTTGAGTCGCTCGTCAAAATGGCGATTTCAGAATTTATCAGAACTAACATATTTATCGCCTGTAAAACCAGTAGAAAGTGGAATTTGATGCCGGTTTCATTTGAAATAGATAATCTAAGTGTAGGTTAATAATTCTACATGAAAATATTAGGGAAAATAATTAATTTGAATTAGTTATGAGCATCAGTGATTTGAGTCGCTCGTCAAAATGTCGATTTCAGAATTTATCAGAACTAACATATTTATCGCCTGTAAAACCAGTAGAAAGTGGAATTTGATGCCGGTTTCATTTGAAATAGATAATCTAAGTGTAGTTTAATAATCCTACATGAAAATATTAGGGAAAATAATTATTTTGAATTAGTTATGAGCATCAGTGATTTGAGTCGCTCGTCAAAATGGCGATTTCAGAATTTATCAGAACTAACATATTTATCGCCTGTAAAACCAGTAGAAAGTGGAATTTGATGCCGGTTTCATTTGAAATAGATATTCTAAGTGTAGTTTAATAATCCTACATGAAAATATTAGGGAAAATAATTATTTTGAATTAGTTATGAGCATCAGTGATATGAGTCGCTCGT